TTTTGAAAAAAAAAAAACAAAAGGAGAAGGAAAAACCTAGAAGCTACCAATGAAATGTAGTTAATATTATTTCCCCCCCGGGGGAATGCAATTTAGCTTGATTTAAAGCAGAATTAAAAGATAATTATCTTTTGGCATTAATTTTAATATGTGCAATAAAGCAAAAGTTATCAATCCCGAATAAGGCAGAAAATATTTCCACCGAGGGGGGTCTCATAAAACCACAGGACATGGTGACCATCAAGGATGTCCTCTTGGACGTGAGCCAGAGAAGTGTTTAACTGCCGAGGAGGGACCGAGGGGAGGGGAGGAGGTGTCTGAAGATGACATAACCCAGGCCTCTGTGTTTGTTCCAGATTGTGCAAACTACAGAAAGACAGGAGGGGGTTGGCAAGCCTCGAAGGGATGGAGAGGCTAGCCTGTGTCCAGCAGTCTGCAGGCAAGACTGAGTACAAGGAGCACTCGTCCCCCCCTCCCCCCCCCCCCGGAGCTCTGCTGAGGCTTGGCCTTGGGATATAGAGCTGCTGGAAGAGCCAGGAAGGGAATGAAAAAAAAAAAACCAGACACTCAACATCTTCCACCCTGCATTTATAAAAACAAACAAGGCAGTGAGACAACCAACCAGAGTCTCCAACCTCTTGCTGCAAGTGGGAGGAAGGTCTGACTGCTGATTCAGGAGCTGTAGCCAGAAGCCCTACAGTGGTACAGGCCAGAGCTGGTCCTTGGCTAGTACCCAGGAAGGACTTCCTGCAGAGAGCTGGGACTAAAGCCGCAGCATCCCCATCTGGGAGAGACAATTTGAGGAAGTTACCCAGCCACAGGGAGCACAGCCCTCTGAACCCACACTTGTGTTGGTAGCTGGTGACCATGCACACTCTGCCCACTATAGTTCATCGACCACAGGCTGTGGCTGTAGCCTTTCGGAGCTGCCAGGTGGTAGGAAATACAGAGAACTCTCTTTTCTGTTCTCCACGTAACAGAGCCTTCCTTACCCTAAGGTAGAGCCTCCTGACACAGAGGGGAGTGGGACCATCACCTTCCTCTCACAGCCAGCAAAGGGGCTAACTGTGGACACTTGTGTTCCGTGAACTCCATCCTGACACTGCTAAGTGCCACGGGGTGGCTGATCTGTCGTCCATGTGGCTCCCACGGGGCCTGGCAGTAACTCCTGAAGCATTTCAGTGTCCATCCACATAGGGGTAAGGGAAGTGAAAGATGGGGTTCCCAGTTGGGCCTTTTGGCTCCTGCAGTCCTGATTGAACAAGCTCACCCGGAATTCACTGAGTAGGGTGCCTCTGGGGTCTAAGGGTTGTTCATCTAGATGGCTGCCATAAATGTAAAACTGTAGCCTGTTACCTTGGGGCTTTGGACTCTGGGTAGAAGGGCGGGGCTCTGAGGGAGTGACCAGAGCAATCACCAGCTCCTCTGCCTCCCTCCAGAGGTGAGCTCAGCCTCTGAAAGGAGGACTGTCCCCTGCTACCCAGCACAGGGCTCAGGCCTGGACAGTGGGGGTGGGGGTGTCCTGGGAGGTCTCTGTCAGTCTGAACCCAGTCTGGCCCTATTTTGAAATAATTCTGTCCTCGGACACAGAATCCAATCAGTCAGCCCCACAGGCAAGAGGCCAAGTTGCATCACCATAGACCCTGCTCAGATGAGGAGGTGGGGGTGGGGGTGCAGAGCCTCTGGATCCCCCCAAGGTTCGATGCCTAGCCTCTAACGAAGGGGCACCTGGGAGCTCTGACGTAGACAGTGTGGGTGCAGAAGACGGGTGTAACAAGTCTCTCTCGGGCTTTGGATGGCTATTCCCGCATGGCTTTTCCTGTCTTAAAGTGGTAGGCAACCATCTCCCAGATGCCCTGGCTGAAGAGCAGGTTCTGACACAGAAGCCCTACCTGGCAGAGCCTGTGGGTCCTCTCAAAGGCTCCCCCTAAGAAGTAACTGTGGTCTTGTCACCTGGAGAAATACACACTTGTAACTTGTCCCAGCTACAGCTCAGGCACAGGAAGGGGAGCGGGCACGGCGGTGAGTAAGGCCCACAATTTGATCTTGTTTCTCACCATCAGAAGGACTCTGCTGGCCCGAGGCAGGCTGCAGGCAGCCTCCCGGCCATCCCTTCCCCAGCCCTATGGGGGCCAAGCTCATTCAAACCACGATAAACCTAAACACGCTGGCACTCACCATTCATGCGTGCTGTTAACAGACAAGGCAAGAGACAAAAATCAAGCCTCCTCTTTAGCATTCCAGATGGTTCTTTTTAAAGGAACAAAGGAAGATTTGGAAAGAACAACATACATCATAGTAAAGAATGTGGATTAGATTCGTATGTACTTAATAAATATATAGGTGAATACTCACATACTTAAAAGGATCTTACAAAACCTCCTCCTACCCAAAACACTTCGTAATCAGTCAGTATATGTTCCCATGAATAGAAAAATAAATTTTAATATAGTAAGATGTTCCAAGAATAAGAAGAAGTGAACACCTCCCATTTTATATTGCCAGAAAAAAATTGAGCAATAATGAATTCTTCAGTAAAAGAAGCAAATCAAGAATTTACTATTGTAAAGGAGCATTAAGTATTGCAGTAAGGTCAGTCAGTGTTTAAATACAAAGCAATAGCTCAAAGTACTGCTCTCGTAGTTGCTGTTGTTTGTCAGGGATAAAGCCCAGGTAGGAAAGTACTCTGGTGCCAATCAACATTCTGACACATTAATGTTTTATTAAATAAACATCTCTATATCTGCCAAAGATGATTGTAAGTAAAGGTAGCTTTTAAAATAGAAATTAAATACAAGCAAAACTCTTCTCATGGTGTTAATAACATCCAGGCCACAAAAGTCTAACAGTACCCGCAGCTTTGATGTTAATACTATTTTTAATGTCCTATGATATGGTGTAGGAGCTACTTCCTTGACCCTTGGAAAGTAGATGATAACAGTTAAACACAAAGAAAACCTAATAGTTTCACAATCCATCTATGTAAATTGACTTTATGTCTCTGTTTTGCATTCTACTCATATAGAAATTTAAGACAAACTATAATAACCTATGCTATTACAGTAAACTGGACTTTCCTCAGGCATGTTTTTTTTCAATGTTCCCTACCCCAAAAGCTTGCTTGGTGGTTGAAAGTTAGTTATAATCAGCCCAACACCTTGCCAATGATGGCTGAGAGGTGATGCCCTTGTTCTGCAAGTTACCTGCCTAAGTTGAAATTCTTCCCAGAGCACAATTAAATACACCTTTAAATTACATGCTTCCAGTGACTGTGTTTATATTTCTCAGATCAAGGTGAGTCACGGCCATATTGCTTCTCGCATGAGAAGCTCTCAAGACCCATCGGTAAATTAATAAATTGGAGACGGCGATGATTTAATTGCTTTCTCATGCACCAATTAATTGCTTTGTGTATGAGAGGGTTGAATCAGATACCTTTTGTAAGTATGGGAACAGAACTAAATAATTTGTTTTTATTGTTTTGAGACTATGAGTGAGGCATATGAGTGACATTCAGTAGGTGCTCTGGTTAGCTTTAACTTGACACAGTCTGGAGTCACTTGAGAAGAAAGCCTCAGTTGAGGCGTTGCTGAGATCATATCAGCCAGTGGGCATATCTGTGAGGGAGCATCTTGATTGATAATTAACGAGGAGCCCAGTCTATGGTGGGAGGCCCCATCCATCCCTAGGCAGACGATCCAGAACTGTATAGAAAGCATGCTAAGCATAAATACGTCTGCAAGCCAGCAAGCAGCATGGCCCTGCCACACGTCTTTGGCTTCAGAATGAGTTCCTTGACCTGAGGTAATGCTATGGGGAAGAGGAAGCGGGCCTGCCTTCGAGTTCTTGCTTGAGTTCTTGCTTTGACTTCCCTCAAAGATGGTCTGTGACCCGAAGATGTTAGACGAATAAACCCTTTCCTACCCGGAGCTGCTTTTGGGCCAGAGTATTTTCTCACAGCTACAGAACTAAAAGTAAAACAACAGGGGAAGTTGTCCGTAGTAATTATTGCTGAGAGAAAAATAAATATTTAAAATTTCCTTCCACTTGCATATTTACAACTGGCGGTGAACCCTTTGGGTTCTGCCCTTTCTCAGAGCAGTCGAGGGGGAAAGTCTCCGTCAGGGACAAGGTGAGGCTCTGCCATTCAGAGCCAGTGCCAGGAGGAAATGGGTGGTGAGCAACATGGAGTGGCGGCCACACTTCAGGGTCTCACCGGCATTCCATGTAAGCCTTCCATCATGCCACTCAGGCCCCTTGTCTCACCCCTGTGCAGTCCAAGTCAGCAAGCTTTCCCCAAGCATGGGTCTCCTGAGGATTTGGAATTGGACAGCGCCAGACACAGCCTTCCTGGCAGCCAGTCCTCTTTGTGCTATGTAGGGAGTCATGTATATTCTTCCTGGTCTGGGCTGTGGTGCCCTAAGTCTAGTCCTCTACTGTAGCGTATTAAAAATGTACTTTGAAAGGATCATACAGCCCAGATGGCGGCACACAGTACCACGATGCACTTGGGAGTGGCTGCCTCTCATCTCTGTGCTCAAGGTCAATCCCAGGAAATTCCTGTGGTCACTGGGACCTTCCCTGGCTGCCTATTCACTCACCCAGAGGGCAGATTCAGAGTCTACAAAAGGCCAGAGGAAACAAGCAGGACACCCACCCACTGAGCTCCATAAACCCCTGAAACCAGGCAGTCGCTAACAAGCAGCATGGCTTTTCTACAAAATGTCAAAGCAACCGCCTTTAAAGGTCAGTCTATCACTGCTGCTCTGTAGTGGGTACAGTCCATACATTTGGAGGCTTTAACCTAAAACAGCTCAGAAACCGCCTCAAAGAGAGCACTCACCATGAACACCCTACCCCCCCCACACACACACTGCACAGCTACACAGAACTCCTTCAGAGACTATTGAGAATCTAATAAAAAAATTTAAGAAACTTGCAGAAGGTAAAACTACTGAATTAAATACTCCCTTACAGAAGGACATCAGGTCCCGATTTACCTGAATTTTTGTTGGTCTTATTCTGCCGGCTTTTAACTTGCTCAGTCCAGAGTGTAGGGTAGCGTGACGCAATATCTAGAGAAACAACAAGACCATAGACAGTTCGTCAGGAAGCACGGAGTCCCTCAGCTGAGGAATTCGGTAGGTTCCCTGACCACACCCCCCATAATAAATAAGGGTGTACTCCACCTTTTTACCCCAAAGTTAAAAAAACAGTTAAAAATGGCTAAATGCGCTCAACAAAGGAAACAATAAAATAAAGTCTTCGATACATATTTTTTCTTAATCTAAAAGTGTAACTAAAATCTGTTTGAATAAAGGCAGGTCCTATATGTTATCAAACACTCCAGGGTGAGCTGGGGTGTTGCTCAGTGGTATGGTAATTTGCCGAGCACACAGGCAGCCCTCGGTTTGATCCTCGGTGCCACTGAGCCAAGGATAAAGGGAGAAAGTAAGAGGGAGGAAAGAAGCAACTCAATGCACAAACACATCCCATGCGTGGAAGTAGTTACTCTTGTAACACTCAGCGCACAAACACATCCCATGCATGGAAGTAGTTACTCTTGTAACAGCGCACAAACACATCCCATGCGTGGAAGTAGTTACTCTTGTAACACTCAGCGCACAAACACATCCCATGCGTGGAAGTAGTTACTCTTGTAACACTCAGCGCACAAACACATCCCATGCGTGGAAGTAGTTACTCTTGTAACACTCAGCGCACAAACACATCCCATGCATGGAAGTAGTTACTCTTGTAACACTCAGCGCACAAACACATCCCATGCATGGAAGTAGTTACTCTTGTAACACTCAGCGCACAAACACATCCCATGCGTGGAAGTAGTTACTCTTGTAACACTCAGCGCACAAACACATCCCATGCGTGGAAGTAGTTACTCTTGTAACACTCAGCGCACAAACACATCCCATGCGTGGAAGTAGTTACTCTTGTAACACTCAGCGCACAAACACATCCCATGCGTGGAAGTAGTTACTCATGAAACACTCAACGCAAAAACACATCCCACACAGTAAAAGTAGGTACTCATGTAGCATGAGGTTCTCATACAAAATAAATGACTCAACACAAAATAAAATATTTAAAATATAATTTTCACATAGCACCGTTGAAGAAAGTATCCCCTCAACACCATTTACCAAATGTGATTGGCTGTGCACAGCAGGGACACATTATTCTGCACTGAGAACACAGACCCTGCACATTGTCTAGGTTTGAACCCCCTTTCAGGTGAATTCTTATGGATGACTGGGGTTCTACAGGCTAGAGAGTTAGCTTGGCAGAGCCCAGAGTACCTCCAGCACACACTAGTCACTGCTGCTACTTGGAAAGCGTATGGGATTCTGTAGTCTGGTCTCCTGTTTCTTACCATGTGCATTCCTTAGACATTTTCCCCAAAGCTGACCCTGTTTGACCTGAGAACATGACCACTGTCATAGACACTTCATCAAAGGTAAAGAACAGAAATCTATCCTTGCTATTGTTGTCATAAAGACCAGCTACAAGAGTAGAGAAATAGCAGGCGTTATCACACCTTTGAAAAAATTTGAATGCATGCATTTCCACTAATAAAATGACTACCAAGGTATTCTGCTCAGCAGAAACCCCATGGCAATGTGGAAAATTACCAGGGAAAGCAGTGGTGCCTTGTGTCATTGTAAACGGCCACATACAGCCAGGCCACGCTGGACTATTTTGCATCTGTAGTAAGACATCCACCTGATTTCTTGACACACACAGTGAACTGATGTCAACAGTCAAGCCTTCTTGTCATTCCCCGCACAGCATGTGTGTACGCTGGGGACTTCTCTCAGGAAGGAACTAGTTCAGAATCTGCTACCATGGTCCTCATTCTGTTCTCCAACTCTAGACCTAGTGACGGCCGGGCATCAGGCAGAAACCTTCTATATGTGTGTCTCGACTGTGAACAACATCATACCCACTGTGACTTGATATCACTTCCCAGCCCCTGGCCACCCCTCCCAGATCCCCCCCACCCAGTTCCCCATCACAAGCTCACCTTCTTCATCTCCTTGGGGCTGAGTCTCCAATGCTGGGGCTGCAGCATCATCTGAATTCAGAACGGAAAAGATTTGCAAGGAGACTACAATTATGAGAGTAAGCTAAGTAAGTGTGCATCCAGGCTGGAGCCCAGGACTTGCAACCCCCCCCCACACACACATACACACGGAACCCCACCCCCAGAACAGCCCAGCACAGAGCAAAAGCCAGCGCCAAGGGGCCCGGACAGTAACATTGACCCACTGTCTTACGAACTGCTACCCTCAACTGCTACCGGAACCTGAGCGCCCAGGCCTACCCCGGGGGGGGGGACTCTGGATGAAGTTCTAAACCATCGGGGCAGGGGCCATTATAGGGCAGTGAGGGGCTAGTGGAAAACTGAGCAGGAGGGCCCCGCTCTAGGAAAGAAAACCTGGTCTGCAAAGGCCACAAGGTGGGGAAGAGGACAAGGATCCACGGGGATCGTGGCGGGAGCTGAAACCCCATTCCTGTGTGTGTTCCTATGCAGGGGTCACTTTGGAAGCCACGATCTGGTCCAGGAAGACCTCCCTTCCCCTTGTGTCCCTCCAGACAGTTATCAGTGGAGTGACAGAAGGCTCTAGGGAGTAGTCCGCATGGGAGGATGCAGCCTGGGAAGGGTCAGGCTAGTAAGGGGGTTGGTGGGAAGGCAGTGTGGACACTGGGAGGAATGGCCCGGTTTCTTGGAGGAATTTACTAGCCACCTCCTTGTGGAGTGATTGGGCAATTGGTCTCTCTGACTCCCCCCACGGTGTTTTCAGGCAAGTCTGCCCCAGACATTTTGATACAGTAATGTGACCCCACTGTACCCTCCTGCTGTCTAGAAGCCCCACACGAGGCTTTTAGGGGAGCAAAGGAGAATCATACTTTTTAGCCCTTTAATCATAAATAATCTCTTGAAACATTTGACTGTCCAAACATCAAACTTGCCTAATGTTTGCAGTGGCGATGGCATGGGGAAGTTTGCTGTTGAACTATTCTATTTTCTAATGAAATAAAATTAAAGGGATAAAGCATTTAAACCAAATTTAATATTCCAGGTATCTTGAAAGATCATAGGAGAAACTTTTAAACAGCACGTGTGAGCCTCCTGGGGTTTTGGCAAAAACACTCCTGCTGGCGGGCAGTTGCTAACAAACAGGTAGGTCATCCTGACGGGCCATTCCCCAAATCACAGGGTCCCTGCTGACTGAATGCAGGCCTGGCTGCCCAGAATGAGGTGGGCACGGTTGATGTCCAGGTGAAGGTGGAGTTGTGCCCAGCCAGGCCCTGTCCATTCCAGCTCAGGACCCTGTGTGGGCTGCTCTCTACCCAGCTCCCCACCTGCCCTTGGGATGCTGGGTCTCAGTACCACATGCCCATTGGAAGCTCTAACTCAACTTAAACAGAGGGACAGTCCACAAAATGGGAGAGCTATGCTTTCCCTCCACATTTCTGCCACGTCTCTCTTTTCTCTCTAACCTGGACTGTTGCTTTCTTAACACGATCTGACTTCGAGTGTGTGTCCAGAGACCAATGGAGCTCAGTTCCAGGACCAGCTTGTTCCTTGAGTTCATTCTGCGTCCATACCCCAACTCCCTAGGGGTGTCCTCCAGTGGGCCCCATGAGCATCCCCATAAGGAGATGCTCACGGGCCGTGGAATCGTCTGCCCCTCCCTACTCTCAGAATCAGATTAATTTTCTACTCACAAACTGAGTCGCTTCTCTTCTTAAAAAACAGCACTGGGAGCAACCATTATCACCTGAATATCCATCTTTCTTTTGAGTGCAAACCATGTCCTCTCGTGCCTTCCTGCCCCAGCTGGAAGGGCACTGCTTCCACGCAAGGCTGCCTCGTGGTTCCTCCACCACACGCATACTGTACCACAAACCATCCTCCCGTAAGTCCTCAGGTGTTCCCTAGATGGAGTGATCTATGACGGTGCCTGTTTCAGACTCCTCAGAACATACCTCAAGCCTCTATGGACACCCCAGTCCTCTCTGCTTCTGCCCCCAGGCCTCTCTGTACGTATTCCATGCATGGGTCTTAACACTAGAAAGATCTTTCTTCCAAGGCAGAAAGTCCAGTTCCTGGCCAAGAGACTTTCAATTTATGCCTCGGGAGTGGAGTTGAGTAAACTCAGTTCTATTTGTCTTGTCTTACTATTGCTTCTCTTTGTCAGGTTTATTATACTATGACCCATGGTAGAAAGAAGAGTAATGGCTATGGTTATGTAAAAACAACCAAAAAAAGTTCATTTCATCTTGGAAATGTCTCCTGACTTCAAAGACTTAAAGCAGAATGTGTGCCCCGGGGACTGCGTGGATGGGGAACACTGAGGAAGGTCAAGGAACAAGAAGACAGATCTGCCTAAGTTGTCTCAGTAGGGAGGTTATAGGATGGAGGGAGATGAACTTAGCCATCAAGTGGCCCCTAAAGAAGTCAGCTGTCCTGTCTCCCCCTCAGAAGAGCACCTGCTGTGGAGAAAACTGTCACCTTCTCACAGACACTATCAGTGTCCTCAGTAATTCCTATGGTGTGGAATGTGTGAGAAGCCAAAATATTGAACCTCTACTCTCTTGCCAAGTGCTTCTCTTGATGTCCTCCAAGTCACTCAAAACACCTACAATAGAACTCGGTATACATATAGGAACCCTGACATAGCCACAGCATTGCCTGACACATCTACAGCTGAACACAACACACCTACAATTGAACATGACACACCTACAGTTGGACATGACACACCTACAGTTGGACATGACACACCTACAGTTGAACATGACACACCTACAGTTAACATGGCACACCTACAATTGAATATAGTTCACCTACAGCTCAGCCTGACACATCTACAGCTGAACATTGACACATCTACAGCTGAATACAACACACCTACAGCTGAATATGACATACCTACAGTTGAACATGACACACCTACAGTTGAACATGACACACCTACAGTTAACATGACACACCTACAGTTGAACATGACACACCTACAGTTGAATATAGTTCACCTACAGCTCAGCCTGACACATCTACAGTGGTCCTCATAGACCCACAGTCATATCTGAACATGCCACACCCACGGTGTTACCTGACACATCACAGTTGTCATCGTATACTGCAGTACTATCTGACATTCCTGCAGCTGAACACACTGACCCACAATAGTCCTGAGCCCCTTTCATGGGTTCCCACACAAACTACAACCAACACCTGAGTGTACTGCCAGACCCACAGGTGACATCCATGCTTCTGGAAGATCTGGGTAAGTTTCCTACCTAGTTCAGCTTTAAACTTGAGGGTCACTTAAAGGTGTAATCAGATAAAAGCTTATATACCATCATGCAAATTCATTTCAAGATAGTTACCTGCTTTTCCTGCGCCTTCCCGCTGGGGCAACTTTTCATTTATTGACCCTAAGAGAGGAAAATAAAGGGCAGAGTTGTAACACCCTACCAAATGGTTTTTATGAATTAAGGAAAGCAGCTCATAATTACATTTGATAAATTCAAAGTGCATTCTCAAGTTCCAGTTAAATTACACACATCAACTGGCACCCCCGGGGGTGGGGATTTTTACCCAAAGTGGTAGCCCTGATAGAACAGGAGAGTTCCCATTTCTGAGGCTTTGCAGCCAAGTGTGGAAGGTCTTTACACATGGCAATCTATGCACCTGAAAAGTATCCGCAGTCTCCTTGTCACCACGCTTCGCCCCGATGACTGTTGGAGCCAAGAGATACAGACAGAGGGTACAAAGCTAAAGGAAACCAAATCCTTGGCTTCACCTTGTCTGATTACAAAGGAAAACCATAGACGTGTCTTTTATAGAGGGAAACTGAAAGTCCTGAGGGGTGTGAAGCTCTCGGGACAGTGAGGGACTCGGGCCGAGGGCTCCTTGCTTCCCGCACAGACAGACAGACAGACAGACAGACAGACAGACAGACAGACAGACAGACACACACACACACACACACACACACACACACACGCTGCGGGGGCCTGTATTTCTGCTGAACTTGTCTCCCTTCTGCGTGAGCGCCACCCAGTCACCAAACTTGCTCATTTGATGCCGCTCCGTGTGGACAGAGATCTCACAAGTCTGAGGCAGTGCTCCCTTGTTTCCAATGCACTGAAACGGCATCAGTTACCAAATTCTCCCACACTGCCGTCTGCTCAGAGCATCATAAAAAAAAACAAAAACAAAAACAAAAAAAAACAAAACAAAATAAAACAAAACCTCTGGTCAGACCAGAGGCTAACATGGTGTCCCTCGGCAAAGATGCCTTTTCTTTTCAGTTGTGGCTATGACACTGAAAGACAGATCACTCATTCTATTAAAAGCAAAGCCGGGCATTGGTGGTGCACGCCTTTAATTCCAGCACTCGGGAGGCAGAGGCAGGCGGATCTCCGTGAGTTCGAGGCCAGCCTGGTCTACAGAGCGAGTTCCAGAACAGCCTTCAAAAATAATACAGAGAAACCCTGTCTCCAAAAACAAAACAAAAGCAAAGGCAACTAGGTGCTATTTCTGTTACCGACGTTTGTTGAAAAGCTGGGCGATGTGTTGGGAGACACAAAGCCAACTGATTCTGGGGCTCCAGGAAGGCAGGAGGCAGCTCTGAATGTCTTGCCCTTTCCAGATGCTGCCTAAGCCACACCCCAGAGCCCATAGCCCATAAACCAGGAGGCCAGAAGGACACCTGGACCGCCTGCGCAGAGGGAATGGCCTCGGCGACTCCCACCTGCTGTGCAATCTCTAGAGGATTCCGCAGAGAGAAGCGACACTGCGGGGGGGGCGCACCACGGGTCTCTGCACACACTGCACATGCGTCCTGGGGCTGACCCCGGTACATAGGCTATCCTCTGCACTCCCCCATCTCATGCTTCCGTGGTCAGGCTCAAGCCAGAAATGAAGAGACAGCGCTTGCGTTAAGGTTTGTCGTCTGTCCCCAGAAGTCTTCAGGTGTTACTCTTTACTTAAGTGATGTATAGACTAGGACCACTTTCTTACACAGGGCCTCTTAATTTTTTTTTCTTTTCAGAAAATGTATTAGAATACCTAGGGGAAAGTCCTGTGTGGGCTACGAATGGCAAAGGGAAGTTCACCAGCGCTCTGTTAAATTAACTTTACAAAGCTGTGCTAGCTGAGGCTGGGGGCCACCTTATTCTTTACCAACCTGTTGAAAGATCTGGTCTAATCTAAAACCCTTTGTAGTTTATCCCTGGGTCTTCCGCACCTGAAGTAAAATACTCTGGGACAAGAAAGCAGATTGTGTCAGCAGAGATGGACATGAGAAGATTCCAGAAGAGACCACATACCTGCACAGTCCTGTCAGAGTGGCCACGAAACTACAGGTCACAAGTTTGGACATGTGAAATTTTGTTATTAAATGGACAAGGTGGGAAGTGGCTGTCTGCTCGCCTGGCACCTTTGGTGTGGTTCTGTCTTGCGGGACAAGATCTCTGGCCCTGCCTTCCAACAGTACTATTTCTGTCTCTCTAGAGAGAACTGAAATCTGGAGCCTGCTTCAAAGGCTGAGCTCTGACTGAGACCCAAGTGGAGGCTCTCAGGATATAGTGACGCTAAAAGCCCTTCCACGGGGAGGTGTCTGGGAGGTTATTTCCCTCGCCGCCCTTGCAGAAGACCCGAGAAGTTCTAAGCACTCACACCGGGCTACCTACTTGTTAGCCCAAACTGTGGCTATCTGGGGAGGTTGGCATGCTGGAAGCCTGTGAAGAAGGCTGACTTTTTCAAATTCATTTAAAAAAAAAAAAAGGAGTTGGGCCATTTCTATCTTGATCCCTCAAGACAACTGTGAATCGTCATTCAAAATAAACATAAACAAAAAATGTTTAAGGCGATTGGGATGTCAACTGTCATTGATAACTTGATTGGATCTAAGCCCCTTGGGGACCCCTGTGAGGGATTTTTTTTAAATCAGAAGTGGGAAGGCACGTCCTAAATGTAGACCTCACCTTCCTAAAAACGGTGGGCTTTCTGCCTTGTTACCTTTCTGTTGCTGTGGCCACTGTTGGCTACATTCCTTTGTAGATGCCAGAGCCATAGCTTCTAACTTATCTGAAGACCAGGGATGACCCAGGAACTCTCCAGGCCTCTGGCACCAGGTAGGAACTGTGGCGGCATCGAGCCTCACAGACTGATCATCAGCCACTCAGCTCTGAAGACAGCCACTGTAAGACAACCTGGATCATATCATGTAAGCCAATCTGACAAGTCCCTCCTGCTCTGTGTCCATCCTGTCATCCTGTCCCCTGTGGTCACTGCAGGACACCTCCAGGCTAGAGGTGCGGTCCGTGTGGAGTTGTAAATTCTCTGCCCTGTGCCGTGCTTTCCTGTGGCTTCTCTGACTCACACAGATGTCAGCACCGTGGCACCAGTGAGGGAGACGGGGGTGTGTGTATCTGTCTGCTCTGCTGTTTATCCTACTGTGAGTCTAGCATTCTGCAGTGTTTTTATCCTACAGACACCAACAGACCCAGCCCCTGGGTATGTTTTTTTACAGCCGGTCCTGCTGCGTGCCTGCCACATATCTGCAACAGACGTCTGTGTTTCTCCAGGGTCCATCGCAGAAGGAAAGAGCTGGAGCTTAGTGAGTGGCAGACAGACTGCCATGGATGGCCCGTTGTCTGTCCTTACCAGCTCACCACGGAGTCACCTGCTGTGTTTCTGTCTCCGGTCCTGTGTTCTGAGAGCCCTACTGGGCTTCTAACCTGAGCTGCCCTGCACCAAGACACAAGGACACCTTCCTCTAGAGAATGCTGCTGCTCTGACTGCTTTGGAACTGAGGTACTCTGCATCCAAGGCTGTTAACAAGCAACTGTGACTGTTCATGCCAAACCCAGGTCTTCCTGGTGCAACTAAGGGGAGAAGGACTTGAGGAGGGGTCCTTCACCATTCCACTGGATGCAGACAGACCTAGAAGTGACATCCGCTCCTATCCCCACCTGGCTGCTACAGAACTTGGTAACATACGGCTCTAATAAGCACACACAGACACAAATTCATAAATACACACGTCTATGCACATACACATATGTATGCACACGCGTACACACATACGCCCGGCGTAAACATGCACACGCAAGCATGTACACACACATACACACACACACTTTCTAACAGAAATTTACTGTCTTCTCATCATTTCTGCTCTAGTATCTGGCTTCCAGTTTTACAGCGTGCCTATAATGATGAATTTGGTGTGAATTTGAAGGTAGGAAAGTGTGTTACTAAATTCTGAAGTTCTACCCTGTTTTAACGGGCGATTTATAACTGGAGGACAGTACACACCACCCGTACTATATGTCTGCTGGCTGCTGCTGACGTGGGCATATCCAAAGCGCAAGCTCCCTGCAGTTTGCAGGTGAAACCAGGGCCGTCTAGCCTGCCGTCAATCCCGGACCAAAGTAAAGCGGCACCCATCACTCCACTACTCCACCGGGCTGCGCCACCATGTAAGAAGGAGTCCACTGATTTATATAAAGACACATTGTTAATTCTGTCTCTGTTTGGGGCAGGGGTGGGGGGTGAGCATTGGGATGCTCAATTCTCCCACAACCCTCCCTTATTAAATTTCAAAACCCCTCAGTTGTTCCTCGCAGCCCAATAATGTTAAGGAAATAATTCCAGCCGCCAAGTTCACATGAGTTTGCAGAAATGAAAGTCTCACATGCTGCTCCGAGCGACCCACAGACTCATCAGTCATTCCAACGTGGCGGGGAAGGACGTCAACCTCACTGATGAGGGAGGAAACAATCAGTTAACTACACTACACTATACACACACACACACACACACACACATACACATACACATACACACACATACACACACGCACACGCACACGCATACACACACAAAACAACCCCTCGAAGTGGGGCAGCACATCCCAAAGAGCCCTGCCCTGGCCAACTTGAGATTTTTGCTTGGTTTGTTTGTGGAGACAAAGTCTTCATACGTAGTCCAGGCTGGCCTAGAACGTCTCCATTCTCCTGCCTCTGCCTCCAGAGCGCTAGGGTGACAGGCGGGGGCCGCCACACTGGGCTTAAGCTTTTCACCTCCTGACTTTGCTTCCTACCCAAGAATTACACACAAGGCTTTTTAAGCAAAGAGCCCGGCTTTCCCCCTCATCTTCCATGCCAAAGTAAGCAAAGCAATGACAGTGGCGTTGTTTGCACGCAGTGGTCACACACCGCTGACATCTGGTAGGAAACCTGGTGAAGTCTGTGCCAGAAGCAAGGGCTGTTCCCGTGGCGTGCAGCACCCCAGCAAGCGAACACACGGTGCCAGGCAGGCTCTTTCCCGGAGAACTCAGCTTTTCAGACGACATGGCTAGCCTCACGGATACCGCCATGCCTTCTGCCTTCTCCAAAGAGAACTGCCTGTCACTCAGATGAAAACAGAGCTATACGGGATGGGACTCACACCCAGACCCCCACGTGACTCCATCCGTTTCTATGTCATGCATTTTTCCACCACACGTCTGTACAGGAGCTAGTCAATGTAATCATCATTTTGAGGGGATGTAAAAAAAAATAAGTTGTTTCTTCATCGGTTTCAGTGGCGTAAACAGCTTTGGGATAAAACAAGCTCATCTCCATACTGCCTAACACACATGTCACGCGGGCTTCAGAGACCAATGGTCATCAAAATACAGGACTTGTCATATGACACTAAGGCCACTGAAATGAGCTCTGACCTCTGCCCAGTCCCTCTGCCTGGGTCACAATGGCAACCAGAATCTCATCAGGCAATGTCTGCCCTTAATAGAAGATGAATCTGACGGTTAACTCCAAACACTAACATTGCAACCCTTAAACGACAGACTTGTTTTATGCCTGTTTTCATATTACAGCCCAGGAATTTAGATGACAAGATCATTCAGCTTCATCAGACAGTCTCCCCAGCAAGTTAGTCAGGCCCTGGCTGGAGATCGTTTTCACATAAAAAAATCATCTGAATCATTTATAACCTTTTTTGGTAAAAAGAATATTAATAGAAAAGGGACCATTTTATAGACTGGGCCTGCCAGCCTTGTTACTTCCAGTACATCAAGCTCCCGTCTGAGTAATAAAATATCACGCATAAACGTCTGGAAACCGAACTGTGAGGAATGATCCACTTTCTCTTTGAAAACCCATGTATATAAAAACGGGATCTCTTTTTTGCTTGCTTTGGCCAAAGAAAACAATGGGTCATTCAAGCCTGTGACTCTCGAGCCTCCGTGGTTATATTTGCAAATGACTCAAGCCCGGTGTGTCCCAAGGGTGAGCTGTCTGTCCCCTGCCACAGCATAAAAACAACAGTCCTAGGTATTTTCCTTCAGGTCTACATGGAGGGATGTGTCCAGGGAGGTCGCCCCCTCTCTCTAAAGTTTCTTTTGACTGGTGCACAAATACGAGTGACGTGACCAAGAGAGACAGAAGGTAATTTTCCGTGGAGCCAGCGTTAGTCAGAGACCTACCAGGGCACCTGGGTGTCTTGTGGGCCACAGCGGTGCCGCTGATGGGCCTTCCGTTTGGTGTAACGCACCAACAGTAACCCGTGTAGCTGTGACACTGGACCTGCAGAGACAAGACAGGAAGGTGAGCTAACCACAGGCAGCTCTCCTGCAGAGTCGCCTCAGAGGCCGTAGGACGGCCAAGGGGCTCAGGTGATGCATTTGTCTGCTTAGATTTCTCCACGGATGTGTGGAGAAAAGGGAGCCAGCGTGCTTTACCGCAATGGCGGTGAGAACTGGGACCCAGCTTCACAGAGCCTCAAGCCCTCTCACACACACGGAGGAGCTAGAAGGTTCCCCAACATCTTTCAGTGAGCCCATGGCTGACAAGTGTCCAGCCATGAAGACGTGTTTCTGCAGCACCTTCTAGGTCCCCCCAGGGCCTTCAGGTGACTACAGCATAGGTGACATCCAACGGTGCCAGCTCCTCCCCGTGTCATTCCTCTGTCTCCCAGATGTCACACGACTGTGCTGAGACTGGTGGACTACCATGAGATCATAGGTGTTGATGACAGAATGCTTTCACTGTCCCCAGAACCTACTATACTGTGGCATACTGATAGTGCAGATAGCTCTCTCTCCCTCCCCCTCTCTGTCTGTGTCTGTCTCTGTCTCTGTCTCTGTCTCTGTCTCTGTATCTCTCTCTCTGTCTCTTCTCATCTCTCTCTGTTTCTCTCTGTCTCTTCTCATCTCTCACCCCCCCTTCCCCCTTTCTTTCCATAATAGTGCTGACTCCTGTCATTCAGAACCAAGCTATTTTTGACACTGAGTTTGGCCAACATGACCATAGGCAAGCCATGACTTGAGGTAGCAGCCTCCAAGTGTAGATGGCATGGAGCTAAACTACAACAGAAGCCAGAGCTCAGCCAGTTGACCAGGGCTGATGAGTCTCGAGGACTGAACTGCCCATGCCATATTCATGCCACGCAAGGATTCACACGACACAGTTGTGGTTGTAGACACCTGCACTAGCTGGGGCTGGGGTCAGGAACCCTACCCTTACGTGTCTACTTACACTGTGAGGCTCCTGAGCCCAGCATCTCAGAACAAGATAACTATTTGCCACTCAGCAGCTCAGGCTCCTCCCCCTTCACCCTCCCTATCCCCGGTACCTCAGCCACAATTGCCCAGGCTCAGACGTATCCCAGCAGCGTGAGTCACCTGACTGTAGGTGCCGTCATCATTGCACTCTGGGATGAACACTTGCTGGAACTCCTTCCGGGCCTGCTCCTGGGTGTACTTCCTCTCAGCCACACATCTGGACACATCTGTGGGAAGATCAAAGCAGGAGGGGAAGACAAACGTGACATTCTAAGACACAAGCATGATGGGGGAGGTGTCCTTTTGTGTATATGTTTGCCTTATTGGTTGATGAATAAAGCACTGATTGGCCAGGCAGGAAGTATAGGTGGGACTAGGAGACGAGGAGAATTCTGGGAGATGTAGGCAGAGGAGGAGTTGTCATGGGAACCCAGGAAGAGAGGATGCGAGTCAGTCATTCTCTGGTAAGATAAGACCATGTAGAAATACATAGATTAGTAGTTATGGGTTGATAATTAAGATAAAGCTAGCCAATAAGAAGCCCGAGCCATCAGCCAACAGTTTTATAATGAATATAAGTCTCTGAGTGTTCGTTTGGGGCTGATGCGGTTGTGGGGCCAGGCTTGCGGGAAAGAATGCTCGGTACACAAGCAGAAGCTGTTGAGGATGCTGCCCACCCCGCTGGGCTAACAAGGACCACCTAGCACAGCGGGTGCCTCCCTCTCAATCCCACAAGAGCTAGGAAGAACACATTCATTTCCACACTGTGTGGAAGGGAAATGGAGACTGGGAACACCCCCAGAACATGTCTGTGGGGAGCAGGTAAGTCTGACCTCCTGAAAACAAGATGCAGGATGAACCCAGATGCACATGGGAGCCCAGAAGACTCAGTGCAATTCATCGGAGGCAACCGACTTAGAGGCAGGTGTTGGGCCCCTCACAGCTTAGGGCCTGACATCCCACTGTAGCCCAACACCTGGCAGAGCAGAGGCCTCCTCCACAAGGAGTCAAGACTCATCTCTTTCCTCTGCATCTTGGTCTCTAGGATCTTAAAACCTATACCAAACAGTCAGGGAAACACAATGATAAAAAGCTAAACATCCCATGGTACATGTAAAAAAATGAGGATGTCTCGGTGATTTATTTAGTGATGGGAAGCATAAGGACTCCAGGGACTTGATGACTGATTAAAAAAACGGGAAATTTCTAAAGCATGTAAGCAGGCTAGTCCAGGAGTTGAGTGGTGAAACACTGCCTCTGGACATCAGGCCCTGGGCTCAGCCCCCCATGTGAATACAAAAAGCTCATTCAGGGCCAGCAAGATGGTTCAGTGAGCACATGCCAACAAGCTTACTGACCTAAGTTCAATTCCAAGGACCCACAAGGTGAAAGAAAAAAATAAACACAACTCTTATAAGTTGCTCTCTGATCTCCATTTGTGTGCTATGGCATGTGCACACACACACACACAGATGGATGATGGAAAGACAGACATGCATGCAAATAACTATAAATAAGGTAAAGTACATTTGATTTCCCTCTAGATGGAAAAAAAAACGTTTCTGCACTTGTGAACACAACAGCACAGATGAGTTAAGTCCTCATGGAGGGAGAGCAAAAGTTTTGTCTTTCCCTCTCTCTTCTGTTGACCAGAACAGGACCTGGTGGGTGTCATTTCAGATGCCAGCAAGAAGGCTTGGGGGTGGGGTCTAACACTAACTGTAACCCCATCTCACGATGCTGCAGAGAGGGTCACAAGTCCTAAGAGGCAAATCCACCAAAACACTGTAAGGTCTGCCACCATGTGCTCCAGGCTCTGGGGACAGCACCGCAAGTCCCCACCTTCTAAAGTTTGATCCCCGCCCCCCAGATCACCACACTGAATGCAATCCTGGAAACGGTCAGTTGCCACATTCCAGTCTCACGGCGGAAGCAGCCAGGGTACAGGTCAGGAGCGCTGCGGCCTCTCGCCTCCAAGAGACACCTCATGCTAAGCCGCCCTTTCCTCTTCTCTCCACCGTTATTCCCTACAACCCACACTCTCATTGTGGGTACTGACCACAGGCACCGGCTTTGACATAGCAGCTCTGGGGGACATGGGTGACTCTGTAGGAACTTTCCAGACAAAGCTTGCTGAGGGTCGTCCAGACTTTCTCAGAGCCTTTCCTGTGTCATTGGTACATCAGACACCAGTGGTGTGTGGTTGTCACAGACTTGCACACCTCAGAGGTACCCTCTATCTACTCCAAGCCTCCAGCTTTCTTGACCTCTGGCCCGGCATCTAGTGCTCCTGGTATAGAGTTTAGCCATTAAATCGTGTGTGTGTGTGTGTGTGTGTGTGTGTGTGTGTGTGTGTGTGTGTGCGCGCACGTGAGTGCTCGCAAGATTGTGTGTGTGAGAGAGAGAGATAGAGAGAGAGACAGACACAAGAGAGAGAGAATATGTAAGAGAGACAAATAGACAGAGACAGAGATTATGGGAAACATCTGTGCTCCAGAGAATCCCCCTGTTTCTGTCTCCCCAAAGTGGGGATTATAAGCATACACTGCTGTGTCTAGCTTTTATGTGGGTACTGGGAATTGCACTCAGGTCTTCATGATTCTAAGGTATCCCTTTACTGAATAAGCCATCTCTGAGGACCAGCACTTGGTTTCAATGCTGTCTGTGTTCACAGAGAAGAAGCCATGAATTTGCTGGCTTATCATTATTATTATTATTATTATTATTTTAGAATAACTTGTGGCTTCTCTGTCTAAAAGGAAAAATGATAAAAGCTTTAGCTTTCAGGATCACAGCTGGGGAAAAGAAAGAACCAGAAGTTATTCCTAATACTTGAGCCATCGCAGAACATTCCAGAAGAGCATAATTTTCCTAAATAACTGTGGGCTTCATCCTTGGCTTGAACTTCTCTAAGGGCTTCATATCATCCCTGTCTGTTCAAGCCCTTCTCACACTTGAAACTCTGTGTAATGGGATGTCCATTCCAAGTTCACGGCTGGCAGGTCCCAAGCTTGTTTGTCACAGGAGTCAATGACGAAAGTGTCAGATACCTACCACCCCCTGATGGCCAAGGCCACCTGCCTGCCTGCCTGCCATGCCTCACTCCAGACATTTGCTTCTAAGGCTGCTCTAGGTCTCCTCCAGGGAGGTCCAGCCTCCCATGGCATAGTCTGTGGGGGATTTGCAGTCCGAGACGGCAGTATCTCCTTGTATTCTTCCCCTGACTCTAAACGACTACGCCCCTGATACACACAGCCACACAGAAACCAAAATTCTTACACACCTTGAATGTTGCATTTTTTTCCAAACCTAAATTCTCTGTCAATTCCCGAAAGAACAGAATAGAAACGTCGTTTTATCTGAGTTTCACCGACTGGTGTTAAATTTATCTTATTGTTTTTATTCTTTATACTTACTACTTTAGGAAATAAACAGCTCTCCTTTTTAGGGACCTTGTTAGTTTACTCTGGGCCTTTTGTTTCTGTGAATATTGAATCCTCAAAACCTAAGCAAAAAATAAATATGGCCGTGGCACCACCGAACGGTACATAAAAGCTCTCCCTTTAGCCATTTTCCAGTTCAGGTCAGTGGCATTTACTGCATTCCTGACGTTGGGTGACCACAGCACCCCGCTGCCTCCATCCTCTCTGGCTCCAGGACATCGCTGTCACACTGGAAAGAATCCTGTGTCCAGTACACAGACGCCGTCCACCCTGGCCCCTACTCCATCTAAAGATTTTCCCTACTCTGGACATTTTGTACGGAGAGCCACACGCCCGCACTCTCTCACAGCGAGCCCCAGCTGCATGATGGGCCAGGCCCGACGTTTCCTGCTTGGTTCACCTTGCCGTCCACTGACAGACACTGGCTGACCTCCACCTTTTGGTGCCATGTACATGCCACACGGAGCATCTGCAGGTCAGTTCTGAATGCCTGCTGTCAACGGAGCATCTGCAGGTCAGTTCTGAATGCCACTGTCACATCCTCTGAGTTTAAACATAGAATTGTTGCGTCACAGTTGACTTTGTGGCTGGTGGAAGAGCTGCCGAGGGCTTCCACACCGGTGGAACTGCTTCCCATCCCCTTGACATGACAAGGGTTACAACGTTCCACCTATATGTTTGGCAATATTTATCTCTTCCCTCCTTTTAAACTGCCCTGGCCGTCATAGCAAACACCACTCTTGGTACCTTTGAAACTGTGGTCAATGTCTGTGCCCTAGGAAAGCTCAATTTAACTAGAAATTCCGATTTTAATGTTCTCACTAGGGCTGGCGAGATGGCTCAGAGGTTAAGAGCAGTGACTGCTCTTCCAGAGGGTCCCAGATGTGTTCTCAGCACCCACATTTGGGCAGTTTGTAACCGTGTGGAACTCCAACTCAAGGAGATCCAACACTCTTATAGAAAGGAGACAGGTTTTCACTGCCCACAGGGTCCCACATACTCTCTTCTAACTTCTGTTGGCAGACACACACACACATACACACACACACATACACACACAGCACATACTCACACAGATACACAAACAAATATGGAGGCATTCACACAGACACATACACATAAGAAAATTCCAGTTAAATAAATCCACTAATAATTTAACCATCTAATTGTATGTAACTCACTTTTTACTAGAACAGAGAAAATACCTTTGGTGTAAATTTAATTAGACATTTTGGAGACATTTTGCTCTCACCTGAAAGATCCAAGACTTTACAAATAAAACAGCGAGGCACCATTGACAACATCCAGACAGAAGCTTTTGATAAATTGTTGATTAATACTAATACGTTTGGAAACAACTTTTTCCTCCCGTTCTCAACTAGAGAGTAAAACAGATCCCAGTAGGGTCACATGATTGCTTGCATATAAATTTATATTAGCCCAGAAACTGAGGTGCTTGTTATGAAGAAGCAATGAACAAAGGTTTGCTGTGGTTATTTCTGCTTTTTTTTAAATTTAAATAGGAAACAAATAATTTTCCTTCTTGCTGAAACCACTCAAAAGAGAATCAAGTGGTCGTTGGAAGAGATGGCTTCTACCAATGGATCCTAATGAGAAAGGGTTGCAGCAGAACAGTTGGGAGCACTTTCGGAAGGACAGCTCTTGGTCTCTGGGCACGGCGGGCGGCTCCTTCAGGGACCCCTGTTCAGCAGCAGGTAAAGAACAGCATTCCGGGGGCTCTGCTCACCACCGCCCCACGCTGAGATGTCGCATGCCAATCTACA